GAAGAAGGAGGAAGGAAGGATTTTACAATTTGCCAACAGATGATTTCTTTTTTGTTTGCTTTTTAAATCTTGATTTGATTTGAAATACCTTCTTTCCTCCCCTCCTGCCTGTTCAGTATGACAATTTTTTTGAAAGTTAAAAGGAACTAAATTAAATGTATTTAATGGATTTTTGAGAGGTGTTTACTGCCCTCTTTCAAGTAGCTGATGCTGGCATTTTGACCAGACCAGGGCCAGACATGGGCGGGGTGGTTCTTTAGCTGCCTGCAAATAGGGCCTTTTGCCAATGTCAAGGGTCCAGTTCTCCTGTTGGCATCCTGTTATGGGCTGAATGTTTGTGGCCCCCTGAAATACATATATTGAAGCCCTGACCTCCAGTGTGAGGATATTTGGAAGTGGGGGTCTTTGGGTAATAATGGGTTAGAAGAGGCCGGGAGGGTGGGGCTTCCATGATGGGATTAGTGACCTTACAGGAAAAGCAAGAGAGACCAGAGCTTGGTGCCATGTGAGTCCACAAGAGAAGGTGACCATCTGCAAGCCAGGAGGAGAGTTCTTACCAGGCGCCGAATCTGCCAGCACCTTGACCTTGGACCTCTTAGCCTCCAGAACTGTGAGAAGTAAATGTCTGTTGTGTAAGCCCCCCAGTCTAGGGGGTGTCCTTAGAGCAGGCTGAGCAGGCTAGGACACATCCCATTTTGCCTTTCCTAGTTGTTCAAATTGGGAGAGTTCTGGGGTCCCTGCTAGCCCTTCTCCATTTGTCTCCCAATCCACAGTCCTCACCATCCCCTCCCTCAAGGCCTAGGAAGTCATCACAGTGGGTTAAGGACCATTAAGGATTGGGAGCTTGAGGGCAGCCCTGTGCATGGAGCCCTCTGAGTACACCAGCTGGGTCACATTCATTCCAGGCTGCACACTTTCATGGGGAAAACTGAAACCTGGAGTGTCACTGGGATGTTGAGTGGGGCTGGTTTTTTCTAAAACAGGAAATTCGACGACATCATGCTCATGCTTGAAATCTTCAAGTATCTAGAGACAATTGTGTTAGAAAGGGAAGGCATTCATTCAGTGTTGCTGGATTCAAAGGAAGATGTGGATTGAAATTCGTTTTGTAGAGGAGACTTTGACCAATAAATGCTGCCTAGCCCGGGCTGGGCTGCCTCTAGAGGGGATGAGCTTCCTGTCACTGGAGGTGTGCAAGTATCCTTCAGGGATATTTCAGAGGACACTTACGACCTGGAGAGTGGGGTCACTACTGCAATTGGCTTCTAGGCCTCCCATCCCCCACCTCTGAGGACCTGTGGCTTTAGCATTGTTTTAATTTTTTTTTAAATTTATTTATGATAGTCACAGAGAGAGAAAGAGAGAGAGGCAGAGACACAGACAGAGGGAGAAGCAGGCCCGTGCACCGGGAGCCCGAAGTGGGATTGGATCTCCAGGATTGCGCCCTGGGCCAAAGGCAGGCGCCAAACCGCTGCGCCACCCAGGGATCCCTTTAGCATTGTTTTAAATGGGATGCCAGGATCGGGAAAGCAATTAAAGAAATCCAGTGACGTGAGGACCAAGCTATAAAAAAAAAAATCTTTATTTCATGTACCAGGATTTTTTCTTTTTTTTTCTTTTTTTAAGTTTTCTGCTTTTTAAAATTTTTTTTTTCTGTTAACAGTCTGAAAAAAAAAAAAAAAAGGACCCACCAAGAAAATAAAACGGAGGTTGGTTTCTTGAACTGGTTTGAGCTGGACATGAGCAACCGTCCACCCTGGCAAGCAGTGCCCTCTGCAGTCCTGCTCCCGGCTCCTTCCCCCTAGCCCTTTCTCAGCAGTACTGATTTCACCCCACACCCAGAGGGCCTTCTTCCAGCAGGCCCAGGACCCAAGGCTCGGCCTGGAAAGAAGCGCCCGTTGCCATCCCAAACACCCTGCTGGAACTGGGACCGATTTTCCTCTTGGAACAGCACCTGCTTGCTTGCTCTGTTCTTGGGGCCTCTCCTTCTCTCTGGTCCTTCATCTTTTTGGGTTTGGGTTTGGAAGCTGGTGGGCGAGGGAGAGAGAGATTGTGATTTCTGCCCAGACTGAAGAAGTGCTAGGTCACCCACCACACTAGCCTTGGCCGCCAGTGCTCTGTCCAGAGCCTGTGACCTGCTGGGCCGGCAGATGCTCTGCCTCGTGGCTCAGGCTGAGTTTAGGGTTCCAGCTGCAGCTGACTTGGAAACAGAGCGTGGGCAGCTGGGAATGTGCAAGCCCCCCAAGGCCTTGATAGCCACTCCCCACAACTCCCCAGGGCTCAACTTGAGGAACTTAGGCCAGGCCAGTGTCGAGGAGGCAGAGCAAGACCCACTGATGGGTCTAGCAGGTGCCCTTCCCCTTCAGCAGAGTGGCTGGCAGGCTGGGCTGAAATGCACTCTCGAGAAAGCTGTTGGGTTTCTCTCAGTCTCAACTGACCCTTGTTGCTCTCAGGAGGAGGAGGAGCAACACGGGATGCCCCAGACTTCCGTGGTGTGGTGTCAGCTTTATTTTGGGGGTTGGTCCTCAACCTGTGACCAAACTTTGTCAAGCCATCCCCTCCATCCCTTTGACCTTGACCCCTCCCAGCAAACCTCCGAGGATCCTCTTTTTCTCTGACCCCCAGAGATAGCAGGAAAGGCCTGGTGGCTGATCTCTTCCCTCAGAGAAGCCCTCTTCACTCTCTGTGACTGGGTTCTGGCACTAAGGAAAGGGGATACGAAGTGAAGAGTGACTCTGGGGACCTTTGTGCCTTTTCCCCTCTGTTTGAATGGCAGGATACGTTTGCTCATACATGCGTATATTTGCTCTGACATTGGATGTGGGGGTTAGGGGTTTGGGAGCACAGTGAGGAGGCATATGGGGTGTGTGTGTGTGTGTGTGTGTGTGTGTGTGTGTCTGAGAGGCTGATGATTTAGGAATGTTCTCAATGTCTGGGGGCTGGATGGCTGCTATTTTGGTCATCCCTGGCATCTTCCTCTGGGCAGGTGGCAGATCTTAAAAGTCATTGACACTAAGATTAAGAATAGGCCTTTGGAGCTCATCTAGGTCAATCCACATGCTTGCATAGAAGGAAACTGAGGCCCAGAGAGACCATTGCAGCAAGGGATTCCAGAATCCAGAGCTGGATTTTAGACAGGGGCCCTTTCCATGCATGCAAGTGGTGTGTGTGTGTGGTGTGTGTGTGTGTGTGTGTGTGTGTGTGAGTATGTATGGTGGTTGTTCTTGTCAATGGCTTTGGAGGACGGGAGTCAGCGTTCTCTGAGCCCTGCCTCTGGCTTTGTATGGAGAGGGAAGTGTTTAAACTCAGTGTGTATCCTGGTATTGGAGCTTGGGGCCTGGAGGGCTGTGTCTGTGTGTGTGTGAGTATGTGGAAGTGTGTGTACGATCTCCTTCGTGTAGACCAGGTTCTCCATTGTGATTCTCTCTCTCTCTCTCTTCCATATTAGCAGCACCTTCCTGGTATAAGGAAGAGATCATAGAACCTCCCTGCCGCTCCCCAGGGCCTTCCTCTTCTCCCTCCATCTTGAGCTCAGCCCTGATCTCTCCCAGCAGGTTTTGTTTTATTTATTTTTTTAATGGATTTGTATATTTGTTTTCTGTTTTCTCTTTACAAGTTCCCTGCTAAATTTTAAGTCCCCCACCCCACCCCATTGTTTTGTTTTCACAGTTTAAAGCTGGAAAAGAATTAAAAGAAAAATACTATCTGATTTTCTTGCAAGTAAATCCACTTATATATTTACATTTATTTATAGTCTGTGGTTTTTTTATTAAAAAAATCACCACTTGTTTTTCCTTTTTTTCTTTTGTAAAAAGAAACCTTTTTGCAGTGTCATTGTTGGACCTGCTGAGCCCCAGGGGGGCGTCAGTGAGTCCAAGGACCCCCAAAGGGTCAATGAGCCCCCTTCCCAGGGGGCGGTGGGGGGCTTCTGAGTTTGGGGGTCCACCATCGCCCCAGGGTCATCAGGTGGCCCTGAGGTGAGAGGTGAGGAGGGAGAGCTGCTTTATATCCCCCCGGGGGGGTGAGCATCTCCTGCTCCCAGGGGCAGGAGCTTGGGGTGGTGACCCCAAAAAGCTCACCCTGAGGATTCCAGGGTTTCCGGGCATCTTGCAAGCCAACGGGCAGCCATCCCCTCTCCGTCCCCTCCCTCAAGGCCTAGGAAGTCATCACAGTGGGTTAAGGACCATTAAGGACTGGGAACTTGAGGGCTGGGCAAGCCCCAAGTGCACCCCCCTCCAGGCACCTTTCGGACAGGAGGGACCAAGGACTTGAGTCACCTGGAGGCCTACAATTGCCCCATAAATGCCGGGTGGAGCCGGCTCACAAGCCTTGGAGCTTGCCCAGCGTTCCTGGGGCACCCATCCAGAGGCTCCAGGGACCTGGCAGTGACCGAGGGGCTTACCTGGCCCCGAGGCCCCTGAGTCTCCACCCCCCACTTGCCCAGGGAGGCAGAGCCCGCTTGGGGTTAAAGAGAACAGAAACTCTCCCGCATTAAAACAAAAAGTAACAGAAACTCCTGATAAATGAAGAGAACATTCCGCTTCCTTTCTGCTCTTCGTTTTTTTTTTTTTTTGCTTTAATGTTAGTTAGCTTGGTTCCCTTTTATTTTTTCATTTAAATTGGTTTTTATTAAATGTTAAAATAATGGTACATGGGAAATCATGCATTTTCTTTTAGATTTATTTTCTATTTTTAATTTTTTAACCTCTCTCGCTGTTTTTTTTTAAGTTTATTTTGCGTTCCCTCGGTTAGTGTTTTTTTTTTCCACATCTCCTGTCCTTTTGCTTCTATGTTCCTCTTATATTTTGTTCTTCTTTTTTTTTTTTTAAATTTACTTGTTATGTTTTTCTCTTTTTTTGTTTTTTTGTTTTTGTTTTTTTTTTAATGTTTTTTTTTTTGTTTTTTTTTTGTTTTTGCTTTTGGAAGGTCTCCCCCCCTCCCGCCCCGCCCCTGGATGGTTGGGATCCCGCCCTGTGCCCCGCTTCCCCTGCACCTCTGGGCCCACTGCGCGGGCGGGCGAGGGGGGCACCCCACACGCCCCTCCTGCGGCGCTGCCAGGCTCCGTCCCCATCCATCCCCCATCCCCACCCCGCGGTGGGCTTCATACGGGGGTGGTCCGGCGGTTGGCTGTGTTGGAGTGGAGAGAGTCTTTGTTCTCCTTCTGGATACAGTTGTGGACTTGGAGGAAGCTGTTGTCTCTGTCCGAGTTGTAGGTGGCGGTGGGCGTGGTGGCGGCCTTCAGGGGGTCCCTGCTGAGGGTGTACATGGAGATCTCCGTGGACGGCAGGGTGTTGAAGCCCTTGATGCCCACGGGAGAGGCGTCCCTGGAGTGTGAGGGCTCGGTGGAGCGGGAGCTGGAGCGGCTGCGGCGCTGGTAGCGGTAGCGGTAGCTGGGGATGCGGGTGATGGCCGAGGCCTGGAGGTAGTCCGTGGCACGGGCCGTGGCCCGCAGCTGTTTGTGCCGGTCGATAAACATGTGTACCGCCAGCACCCCGACCATCTCGGCGATGATGAAGGACAGGGCCCCGAAGTAGAAGGACCAGCCGTACGAGTAACTATTCTTTTTGGAGTCGCTCTTGGAGGGGTCTCCGGCATTGGCAGATATGTACACTATGATGCCAATGATGTTACTCAGACCTGCGGGCCCGGCGGGGGAGATCAGAGAGGGGTGGTTAGTGTCCCAGGCAGTGTCGGCCCCGAGCTGGACTTACAGGGGAGGGGACAGCTGGAGTGGGGCCTTCCCCTCTCCAGGGCTGCCAGCGCCAGTGCTGTAAGGGGCTGGTGGCCAGCATCAACTTGATAGTTATTTGATGAGCCACAAGGGGAGGGCTAATGGAAACAAAGGTATGGGGGGGGGGAAGAGAGAGGCCTTGTACCCCCCACTGAATAATAGTAACAATAAATATTGTTTATGGAGCATGTGCTACCTGCCTTCACCGGAGTGCTTTCCAGGGAGTTTGCCAATGAAGCAATGGAGCGCAGAGAGGTTAGGTAACTTGCTCAAGGCAGCACAGAGGTTTGGAGCCAGTATGACAGGGGGTTGAGACTGGCTCCTGGAGCCAGACTGCCTGGAATCCAAAGCCTTTGTCAGGGTAACCTGAGTCAGAGTTTCCAGGTCCGTAAAGTGGGGAGGATGATAGGGCTCGCTTTTGCAGGGCTATAGAGAGGATTACATGATTTAGGACTACCTGTGTGGGGCTGTTGGGGGCCGGGGTGTGGTATGTGCTACTTAAACATTCATCATTCTTATTAAATGGCTCATGCTACAGCCGTGTGCTTTTTCTGGCATCTGAAGTGATACAACTTGTCCCATAAGGGGCTGAGGTATGTGGTTTTAGGTCCCTGCCTGCTCCCACCGGGGTGGGACAGTGAGGGGACAGGGCAGGGAGTCTAGGCCGGTATCCTGAGAGGGACCTGGGATTTGGGCCCTTTTCTAAAAGGTGGGAAGAAGGTGGTCCACTGGGCTGAGAGACGGGGTCCGGCAATGTTTCTAGAGGACGCAGTGGGGGCTTGGCTGTTGCTATGGGGCAGGAGCCCCAGCACAACCTGCCTTCTCTGTGATGTGACCTGTTGCAAGTCCTGGAGGTTCCTCTTCTCCCTCCCTCCTCTCTCTGCCAGTTCTTCCCAGCGGCCCAGCTCCCTAACCTCAGCTTCCTCCTCGCGGTGAGCCTGGGCTCTAGCCTGCCCAGCTCAGAGCCCATTACCTGCAGACACGAAGAAGATGCCGGCACTCAGGATGATGTTGTGTCGAGTCTTGTAGAACTCGCTGGCTGCGATGCAGAGTCCACCCATGAAAAGCAGAATCACACTCAGGATCGGGAAGATGCTTGAGGCCCTCACGGCCCCTGCGGGACACCGAGAGTCAGAGAGAGAGAGAATTGCACAGCTGTGAGGCAGAGGGACGCACAGAGGAGGAGGCAGTGGCCCACGGAGCCAGGGTTTCATGGACACAGGGCCAGAGCTAAGTTCGCTTAGGGAGGGAGGGAGCCAGTGCCCAGCTCGTAGCCCTTTAGGGGCTCCTCTTTGCCTACAGGCCAAACTCCAGTGCCTCATGAAGTCTTTAGGGTCTCTGTGTGACTTGGCCTCTGCTACCTCCAGCCCCACGGCTCCTGGTCCCCTCCCTGTGTTCCCTCATGTCTAGCCGCAGCATATGTCACATGTCATGTCATTAATGCTTCTGGCTTTTGACATACCTACCCTTCTTGCTAGAATGCTTTTCCTATTCTTTCTGACTCAGCAAACTTCTCTTCAACCATCAAGACTCAACTCAAACTCGCCTCTTCTGTCAAGCCTTCCCTGACTTCCCTGGGCAAAGTTATCTGTCCCTTCCTGTGTGGTTTGGGACACCTGGGGCACACGGAGAGGCAGTGTGTCATCATGGTAAAGGAGCCACATGGCTCTGAATCTGGCTTTTGCATGTATTAGCTGTGTAGGGTTGGGCAAGGTGTCTCTCTGTAACTCAGTTTCCTCATCTATAAAATGGGAATGGTAATAGCACCTGCCTCCTACGATGGCTGTGAGGATTAAATGAGTCGATTCTGATAATGCACTTGGATAAGTCTCTGAGGACATGTAGCGAACGCTGGGTAAGGGATAGTATAGGAAAAACTTGTTCTGTGTATGCTTCCACAAGCCATGGGGCCCCATGAAGGCGGAAACTGTGGCTTTTTTTAGGGGGAGGGTCTCTCTTTTTATTCTGTCCCCACCACCTCGGTCAGGTCAGTGCTGGAGACACAGTAGGCCCCCAATGCAAGGTCATTGAGTGAATAAACAAGGTGAGGAGGTCCAGAAAGAGGAAGAAGCAGACATGCCCAGAAAAGAAAAAGTGAAAAACAAAACTCCCTAAAAACGCCTTCAGGGTAAGGTGAGAAGAAAGGACCGACAAACAGGCACAAGAAAAGAACACCCTAAGGAACATTTTACTCCCACATATGGGAGGACAGGAGGACAGAGGGATGCAGATGGCTGAGGGCGGGGGGAGCAGCCAGGCTGGCAGGAGGCATCTGTGGGGGACAGTGTCCAGATGGGGACCCAGAGGTGTGGGGTCTCCATGAAGTGTCTCTGGAGGGTAAAACAGTCTTTCTCTCCAGATTCAAATAGGCGGTGAGTGACCTCAGGGCTCTGAGTCCTGGGAGCTGTGGGCCAGGCTGGAGGCAGAGCATCTGGAGGCTCACGGGAGGGAAAGGAGGTTTCCTTTACATGTTTGGGTTGTTTAAGTGGCTTCTGAGGAAGTTGGGTCCTGGTTAGAGGGCGGGTTGGCAGGATGGGGCAGGGTAGGGGTGCGTCTTGGAGAGGAAGGTGCCAGGAGTAGAGCCTCCCTGGCTCCCTGCCCCTTTTGGTGGCAGTGTGGCCACGAAAATCTGTGGAGAAAAGAGGTTTTTTTTCAATACAGAATTGGAGGACTTTTTCCAAGAGGATTTTAGGCAGTTTGCTGTGATGTGTGATATAAAACTCCTCCTCTCTCTTCCCCGTGGATCTTCAGGAGATCCACACAGCTTACTGATGCTGTTGGGTGAATGGGTTATTTTAGGGGGACTTGAAGAAGAATGAACCAGCACTAGGGGCCAAAGGATGAGGCCCATGGGGAGTGGGGGGTGGGTAGCAGCTGGGTTACTGGGCAGTTGGACTTCCTCTCCCGCGGGTGGGGTTGGGCCGTCTCCCTCCCAGGTCTGAGTGGATACTCTCCCCCAACAAGCCATTTTAAGGTAACAGTTGTGTCGCCAGCCCGATCCCCCAGCCCCCACACCCCTACACACGCATACATAATGCCTGGACATGCACACCTGAGTGCTGCCTGAATCCTTATCTTCATAAGCACAGGGGGATGGGGGAGCTTATTAGAAGACTCACGAGAAAGTAAAGAATCTTTGATAAGCACCTACTCTGTATCAAATCTTGAATGAGTACCTAATATACATTCTCTAATTTAATCCTCCTAAGAGCCCCATGGGCTGTTTTTTAGCCCCAGTTTATAGACAAGAGACCTGAAGTTTAGAGAGGCAAAGTAACTTGCCCAAGGCAGCCCAGCTAATGAGTCAGGATTCAAGTTCAGATCAGCCCAACTTTTGGACCACCCTATACTCTCCCTACAGGGCTCCTAAGGAGCCTGGGAAGGGTGCTGCAGAGTCCAGGGATCTGGGTTTGGGGTCCCAGCTGTGCCGCTCACTTGGGCAGAGACCTCAGCTTCTCTGGCTTTCCCGTGTGTAAAGCGGGTGTGGACCTTTAGATGATTTCTTATGCTTCTGCCCTCTCCATGTGGATATGATTTCTGACCAGCTGGAACTGGAGGGTGACAGCAAAATGGAGGCAAGAGAGGTTGGTGTGACCTCTGAGGGGCAGCAGCGGTGGTTCAGTTGAGCAGAGGGGAGGAGGAAGGTCTCCAGTCTTTTCCCTCTCAGAAAGCAGGTGCTTCCTGCCCACTGTATACCTGTATTTGGCAAACCCAGCCTGCACCCTCTGAACAAATGCCTCACAGGCAGCCAGGGCTTGATGGTGTCAGCTCCGTCTGCTGCAAGAGCCCCGGATGTCCCAACTCAGCCTTCCAGCCAGCAGAGAGAGGGAGCTGGGATGCTGTGTGTGTGTGTGTGTGTGTGTATGTGTGTGCGCCTGCCCATGTGTGCAAAGACAAGATGGAAGGGGGCAGGAGAGAGAGGTCTGTTATGTTGCAGCCAACAGAGAGTAATGTGGAGGAAATGGGACCACTTCGGAAGGTCCTGAAGCAGCTAATGATAAGCTCTAGAGCATGGCAGCCAGCAGGCAGTACAAAACAGAGGCCTCTCCGGCAGAGCCAACCCAAACACCAGCCTCTTGGAAGAGGTTTGCCCAGTACGAAGGAGACAGGGGACAGACAGCCAGTAGACAGCACCATGCCTAGGAAGGCTAATGTTTTTAGGACCCAGATTCAGGCTGGGCAGGAATTGGCTTCAGAGCAAGCAGGGACACCTACGTTGGAGAAGTTTCTTGAAGGAGGTCTTTCTGGCTGGGGGTGGGGGTGGGTGGGTGGAGAATTTGGGAATTTACTGCACCTGAGTACTTATCCTGGCTTTGTCACTCACTCACAACGTGGCTGTGGGCAAGGGTCTCTACCTCTCTGGGTCTGTTTTTGCGTCCTGTAGAATGGGAAAAGTAACCCTAATAGCCAGCTCATGGGAATGTAAGGCTCTGCGGCTCGAAGGGCAGTCGGTGAGCCATCCAGGGAAGCGTCACGGGAAGCTTGTTAGAACTGCAGATTCTCAGGCCTCCCTCTGCAGCTGCTGAGTTAGAATCTACATTCTCCTGAAAGTGCTTAGCACCAGCAAATGCATGGGAAAGTTTGAGAAGCCCTGTTGTCAAGATTGAATTGTATAATTTCTTTACTGATTCTACCCTGGAAAGTGATAAAAGGTACGATTTTTATTACTTCTATTGTCCACCCCCTCCCCTTTATCCAGATGCTGCTTCCCCACGAATCGTCTTGTTGATTCCCACTGAAGCTGGTATGGTTTTAGCACTAAAATCTGTCATGAGGAGCAGAAGGTATCTGATTTATTCAATGAACAAATATTTATTGATCTCCTATGAGTGAGCATATGGGACTACGCAGTACCTACCAACATTTATGGAGCTCTTCCTATGTGCCAGGCCCCATCCTGGCACACGGATAAACCCATTTAGACTTCATACGAACCCCATGAAGCCATTGCTTTGGCTTCAAGGAGATTACAAATACCTAAAGCAGGTATTGGCAGACTTTTTCTGTAGAGGGACAGCTAGTAAATATTTCTGGCTTTGCTGGCCATATGTTCTCTATTTCAACTACCCAGCTTAGCTGTTGGAGCATGAAAACAGCCTTAGGCAATATGTAAACAAGTGAGTGTGGTTCTTTTCCAATAAAACTTTATTTACAAAAACAGTTGCCGGGCCAGATTTGGCCTACTGGCTGCAGTTTGGCCATTCCTGGTTGAGAATGTAATATGCTGGACTGGGGAAAGGCTGCATGGTTAGAGTTGGGAAATGCTTTGTTTTTGACTAGCTGTGAGTCTAGTGAATTAATAGAGACCAAGTGCCTGCCGCTGTGCCAGGTTCCATGCTGGGCATGGGTTCACCCAGTGAGGAAGTGGAGAAATTGGGCCGTGAACCCAGGCCGTCTGCCTCGAGGGTCCGTGTGTCTAACCACTGTATTCCCCTGCTTTCAGTCCTGCCTGCACTTCCCACCCCTCAGACCATCCTCTGAGCTCATGTGGGGGGCGAAGAGGGCTGCCCTGAGGGAGTGATGTTGGAGCTGGCATCTGATGCATAAGGAGAAGCTAATGGGGCCGAAGAGAGGCAGGGTGTGGAGTGTTCCAGGGAGAGGCAGCAGCATGAGTAGGCTGGAGGAAGAATCCTTGCTCACAGTACTGGAAGACCCTCAGTCACTAAGAGCCACTGGAGAGCCTGGGGGGGCTCTAAAGGAAATGAGGCAGGCCAAGGCCAGGCCGGAGTTGGGGGGCTCACAGGGTAGATGTGCAGGCTTGGGGCCCAGAGGTAGGGTCTGGGCTAGTTGTAAATGGGGTTTGTAGACACAGAGGTGAGCACAGGAGAGCCTGCCTGTGGAAGAGTAAGAGGACTAGCTAGCTGTAGGGTTGGGGGAGCCCCAGTGTTTAGTGATGGCTCAGGAGGAGCTTGTGCAAATCATGCAGCAGTGTGCCTGGTTTCTATTTCCTTGTCTGGATTAGATGATCTGTAGGGTCCTGTCTGCCTTTGATGGTCCTGTGCACCCCAGAACCTCCCATCAGGGTCCCCTCGGCCAGGCCAGTACACCGTCTTAACCTATTCCTGTACCATTTGTGCTTTTGATCAAAATGTTTGTCATTACCGAGTATATGGA